TTTTTAATTCGACGATTGGGCTGCAAAATACTTCAAATATATATACTTCAAATATATTCGCATATATATTATAGGGACTGTATAGTGAAATCCTAGAGAAATTAATCAGAACAATATACTAGAAATATGTGTCCAAACACATCTTTGATTAATAATCTTGTTTTGTAATTAGTTTTTCCGAAGTTGCATTGATTGTTATCTAATTAAAGTATATTTTTATGCAATCAGTATAATTACTTAAATTCTTTATATATACAATCGTGCATATTCCGATACAGCGGTAATATTTTCGAATATGTTTATATCATTGAATGGCAACGCCGTTTAGACATTAGAATCGTATAATATAGAGATTTTGTATTTCGTATAAGATGAAAATTGGTATGAATCGCAACCAGCTCAGTTATTTTAACTATTCGACAAGTAAGTGAGTCCTATGATAAATATAATAAACTTAACGATATAATCACATTAGATGTTAGAGGGAAGACGGTTAGAATGTAACGCCTCATTCGTATGTGTTCGGTATGCGATGGTTTGTAGTTTTACATTTTTTGAGATGGGCCGTTATATAATATATAATTCTAGTATGTAATTAATTATAATACAGAATTGGTTTTATATAGATAAGATCTCACATATACATCCACCATCATGAGACATTTTTATTTGAAGTTAGAATGAAAAGTTCTCTTTATCATAGATAAAAAAAGTATAGTTTATACTTCGTTATGCATTTGATAGCTTTCCCATGAAAACCATCGAAAACATATAGAAAACAGACTTGTCATTATTTGACCACTTGCGTTCAAATATTATATATCTAAATTTTTATATATACAATAGAAGATAAAAACTAATGAGAATATCTTCAAAATTTCAACATCATTAATAACAATATCAATTTTATTATCTGCTCATCATTCTAAAATTATATGTGTGTGTATATATATTAATTTAATATGTGTGATTCTAAGTCTGTGTGAAACCAATTCGAAGATATATAAGAAGTGACATTTTATATATAAATTATTAATGTTATATGCATATTATTTTTAAAATATAGAATTTTTATGATTCATTAAGTATGATATAAATTATATATAGACATTTAAACAATCAAATTCTCAACATAAGCCCTACGCATGGGTTCAGCTTTTTACTATAAACTCATTATATTGTTCGTAACTATAGATATAATATAAAAAATGTGTCGTCAGAGAATTTATATACAACGGCAATTTATTTATATATAATAATCATATTGTTTACTGCATGTAATGTTCAATTACATTGTTTGCATAAAATTTGTTTATCGAATGTTTATATATAAATATGGTAATAGGAAATACATTATTTAATTGTCATTTTCTGAATGTCAAAAATATAGTTTGAAATCTGACAGAACATATTATTAGAACTATTGAAAATGCAATTTTTACACGTAAACACCGGCCACGTTGATATAATTATTCAAAATATTTAATAAATAGAATCTATAGTGGCATTGTTCTAAATTTACAAATAGGCCCCCAACAGGCCTAAACTTGCTGCACTGAATCGCTGGTTTAAAATAAAACTACTGTTGTTGATGTTATATGATTGTTAAAAGAAACATGCAAATATTGTAAATAAAAATCGGTATAAAAAAGAGTTTTATTTTTTTCATTTCCTTGAAGAATAATAAATAAAGCACCTAATGAAAATTAAGAAAATATAGACTTTTGCGTGAAGTCTTTCCACGCGGAAGAAGTTATACTTTTTAATGTGCAAATAAAAATAGTAGGCTGGTTTTGATTGGTAAAGAAACAATCGGACATGTCATGTATATTTTTGATATCGAAATATTTTTATAGTTAATAAATTTATATTTTTTTATTGTTGGGAGTTTCTAATTTAATATATTGTCATAATCATTACTACTCCCACATTGGTGACTCACGACGATGGAGATGAAGATAAAGGAGTTTTATTTTTCGAAGATTTAAGAAAAATTGATTTTGACGCAGCACCATAATCACTGGTCTTCAGTGACGACCTATGTCCAGTCCAATCCATCATAGTTAACGCACTTACTATCTGGATCAGACTTCCGAGGTTACTCATTTGGTATACCCAGACCTCAGTGTTTATTGCTGACAGAAAAAATAATTTGGAGCCTAAACTTTTCATTGGAATGCAATTCAACCTCTCTTTCTCTGTTAACTCAACAAATCGTCTTATAATGCTACCTCCCATTATCGGTGACAACGACGAATCAAAACAAAATTTGACATAATTTATTGGATTCCACAATTCTGGACTCTTATGTCAAAGAAACCAATGATCCTGATTTGGATAAAGAGCCAACTTCTTTCTCTGATCGGAACTCATCAGATACGAATGCAACGCTTGCAGAAATGGAAACTGTACCCATAAATTATGCATTCTAAACATTAAGTTATTCTGATATAACTCATACCCATTAGATCGAGAACATTATGCAGAATATGGAGTTGATGGCAGGTCAAATCACCACATACGGTGGATCTGCTGACGAAACATGGAAATTTGTAATTGACCAGTATTACAACACTGGTCTGCTATAATCTGCTTTCCCACCACATTTTTATAACGTGTTTCCCTGTATTTTTTTTTAAACTGTGAGATCAACACTGGGCAGGGAGTGTGTGGCGATATCAAGCAGGCTGGTTTTGATTGGTAAAGAAACAATCGGACATGTCATGTATATTTTTGATATCGAAATATTTTTATAGTTAATAAATTTATATTTTTTTATTATGTTGGGAGTTTCTAATTAAATATATTATCATAATCATTACAACTCCCACATTGGTAGTAGAATTTGATTTTTACTCAACTGGATTCATAAAGGATTGTTAATTTTATAAATATTGCTTTATTAACAATCGACTTCACATTTGGAAACTTCATTATCTATAATATTTACGAAGCTATAGATTATGATACCTAAACTAGTAAAATAAAGGTGGCCATATTTTTCTAAGTCAAAACCGGGACGGCAATTATTAGTTATGCTAATCCGGGACAGGGGTATATTAATAATAGTTTTTTTATAATAATTGCGGACTTTTAGTAAGAACTTTATCATTCGATTATAAGTCATACTTTTTTATTTTATGATTTTATATTTTATATAGATCTATATGTTTTTCGCGCTTTTAAGCCTTGTATAATATTCTGTACAATATTCTATACAATTTTAATCATAAATATTTTGAAAAAATTAGCACTTGTTCGTTTGTTTTCATAATTTTTGTTTATTCATCTGTTAAGTTTTGAAAAACCGTGACAATCCGGGACAAAAGATCTAAATTCGGTACAAATTATGTTTTTAAAATAACCCGGGACACAAGGTGAAATCCGGTCCAGTTGTTTCAAAGATACAGGACATAAAGTGCAAAAAATGCCAATTCAGTTTTCAAAAATTCTAAATTACGGTTCGGGATGTTCTAGCAATTTGTCTCAAAGCACGATGTCATGCACTAGTTATTTTTTTTATAAACTTTCTTGTAGAGAAGTTATAGTAATCGCAAAAAAATCGAAAATGAAAATTTTTGCATATCTTTACGTCTCAGAGGTTTCTGAACGTCATATTTCGTGTTTGGATACTTTTCGTCAATAATTTCATGAACATGGTTCAACCGATTTGAGTAGTTCAGAAAACATTTGATTTCCATTGATAGGGAGAAGAGCCGGTTACTTTTTGGCAAAGGCATTTCGAAGATACAGAGCAAAAAGTGCCAAAAATGATAAATTAGTTTTTGAGAGAACAGAGCGTCCGATTTGAATGTTTCAAAAAATATTGTATTTGTATTAACGTAATGAAGAACTGGTGAATTTTTGGGTAAGCAGGTTTTGCTGTTTCGGCAAATTTGGCGGTCAAAAATGATCATTAAAAATATGCACATCAAATTATTAGATATTTTATAAGAATTTTAATAATAAGAACAAATTTTGTTTTTATTTCTTCAATGTTTATCCGTTAGTCTGCGACGCGTCTCTACGCAGCTAAAGAAGCGCGATTGCTTCGAAAAAAAGTTCAAAATTTCCAAAATATTTCAAAATATAATAAATTCAAATTTCTAAAAAATGTCAAAAATCTCTAAAATCTAATTTTCCAAAGTTATAAAAAAAATGATACTTCTGTGAAAAGTTTAATTTTTGGTACAGAAAGTTTCAGCAATTTGCCACAAGTTATAGTAATCGCAAAAAAATCGAAAATGAAAATTATATATATCTTTTTTTATTTTTTCAAAGGTTTCTGAACATTTTGGCATACCTTGGAAAAAATGGAAGTATGTGTGCGTGTGTGTATGTGTATCTGTGTGTGTGTGCGGATACAAATTTTCGTCGACGATTTCGGAAACACGAATCAACCGATTTGGATAATTCAAAAAACATTTGATTCGTATTGATAAGGAGACCTGCTAATTAGTTTCTGGCAAAGGCAGGTCAAGCTGTTCCGAAGATACGGGGCAATAAGTGCCAAAAACAGTAACTCAGTTTTTAAGAGAACGGAGTGTCCGATTTTAATAATTCAAAAAACATTTTACTTGTATTGAGAAGATAAAAATCTGATTAAATTTTTGGGGAGGCAGGTCTAGCGGTTATGGACTCTCAATAAAAATAAGTTAAAAAAATGCCTATTGACGGCCAAAAATTATAAGATATTTTATAGAGATTTTCATAATGTGTACACATTTTGTGTAAATTTTATTGTGTTCCGTACCAAGATTTTTAATTACGGTACAGGATGTTCCAGCAATTTGCCTTAAGGCACGATGCCATGCACCCCACTAGTTCTTTCTAGCTTTGCACACTTTATAGAAGTTTAAACCTTAACGATAATTTAGTGACTTAACGTTGGTAAAACCAAAAAAAGTTGTTATCAATGCCATCTAGTAGAAGGTTGCTTATTTAAATAATAGCATGTTTGCATGTTTCCTACAATTATCAATAGCACATTTTCAAACCAATACGCAAAGGTAGTTATCAGCATTACCAAGTGTCATCTGCTTTTATAAAAACGCACATTTAGGTAAAGAACGTTAAGTATTTTTCTGAGTCCCTCTGTCAGTAGAAAGACATTTAGTCAAAGTTTTTAAAATAAATTGTGGATGATGTGGATTTTATAATTAATCAACATGAGTTCTGGATTTATATCGGAAAATGAGATTGCTGAACAGAGGAAGAAAAGACAAGAAGAATGGGCAAAAGTTAGAACGGCTGACCAGCCAGAAGGTATATAGCTTGAAATTATTTATTATTTCAGAACACAATATTGAAAAGAATTTTTCATGAAGAACTTTTTTTTGCAGAGGTCCCAGAAGAACCATATGATTCTCGGTCATTGTTTGAACGTCTAGAAGAACAAAAACAGAAAAAAGAATTGGAATATGAAGAAGCTCATAAGCTAAGTACGTTAGTAATTAATAGTTAATAGTACATTACTACTAAACAAAAACAATCATTTCCATATATACATACATAAGTTTCAGAAAGTTATAGTTAAAGAAGTATAACTATACAATCTTGAAAGACATACATCAATTTAAAAAAAGACTCTGGAATGTCTTTATTTTTTACACAATTTGATATATAATTTTTTCTTTATCGTCTTATTATGAGTGAGTATGAGAAAATGAGAGAATAGGCATTATAAAATACATCAATAGCAATAAATATAATGCATATTGCTAACATGTAGCACTATAGCTGGTATTAATTGTGGATTTATTATTAATAGTAATTATAATGAATTTTAATGATATTTTAAGCAGTCAGACTTATTCAACATCGAACAAGTCTGCCTGTCTGTTAAATTTCATTACAACTGCCATAACTAAATTACTGATAGTTTTAGTGTTTCATGCTAGTGCTAATGATGTACATTGTATTTATTATTATTGATATATTATATAATGCATATTCTCTCATTTTTTTATACCTACTTACTGAAATTTAAATGAAATTATGTACCCTGACCTATGGAAAAATTAACATGTGCTAAAATCTTGTTTTTTGTATTTACTGTTTGTATTCCAAAATTTTTATTCTTATATATATATATATATATATATATATATATATATATATATATTATCTATAATTTTTTATATTAATGTATAGAAAATTTTGTTTCTATATGTGGTATCAGTAGATATGATTAACCAGTTAATTATTTCACAAATTAGTAAATTATTGAACATGAAGTTAACATGAAATCGGAAAATAAATTATCGAGTGTCCAATGCTGTAAGCGTGAATCTAAAAAAAAAATACCAGCAGGGCCTTTTAGCAACTTTAGAACTACAACATGAATCGCAACAGTTAGATTTAAATTTAGTTATCGACAAAACCAAGAAAACAGTAATATTTTAAAGTTTAAAAGACCCAGCTTAATAGGGAAATCGAATTGATTTAGTTCAAACGAGTCCTGTTGAGAAAATGTATACATAAATAGAAAATGGGGAAACAGTGTTCTAGAAAATTGCTTATTTATTCCAAAAATGACTTTCGCTTTTGTTATAAACGTTTCGCATTAAATGAACAATACTACATCTAGTTGAAGGTAGAAGAAAATCTTAGTACAACAGAAGAAATCTTAATACAACTTTACTTTATTATTCAATAATATTAATTGATAGTGGTTTATGTTTATCAATAACAGGTCATCTGAAAACATTGAATATTTTTGTTGAAGACATATGTGGTTAGGGTTATGGCAATGAAGCAAATGTAAAAAGGAAAAAAAATAGGCTACAAAATTTACTTTTGAACAACAATCCTCAAAACATATAATTTCTTTTCATCTACTAATCTTTGGGCATCACTTTTGAAATACATTAAAAATTTAGCTTTAAAACAACAATCAATCTGTCTATTTTTAAATTTTCATCTGTTTATATAAGCAAGACAGCATTTTTCATGCTTGTTCTAAATTATATAATTTCAAGAATTTTTATTTGATAAATTAATGCAAGAAAAATAATATATTCTCAACTCAAGTATTCTCAACTGACAGAACTCAACCATCAGAATTCTCAAAACATATATGTTACCTAATTAATAAACACAAAATAGTATAATATGAAAAATATGAACATTTCTTTTGCCACCACAGTTATATTATGATTCTTTATCAATCATCACAGTACAATTATAAAATATGAATTTAAAAACAATGTACTATGCGTTCACATCCTAAGTTTATCAATAAATTTGTTTCAGAAAATATGATTAAAGGATTAGATGATGATGAAGTAGATTTTCTAGATCTAGTTGATCGAACTAAAATGCAAGTTGAGCGACAACATAATTTAGAAGAAGCTAGAGAGCTTCAAGAGTATAGACAACAAGTAGCATCATTACAAGAAAAGAATCTTGATAAAAGACTTCAATCTGAAATTTTATCTAAAAAGCCTAAAGTCTCGCCACTCACCAATAGAAACTCCCAGAAAAAGATTTTAACTGGTGTGGTTGTTAAAAAGAGAAAATTGAGTGATGAATCATCAGTTAATAATGACAATCATACTGTTGAAACAAAAGTTAACTCAAAGCAAAACACAACTGGAAACGATCAGGGCTTGAAATGTATTGGTATTCTCCCAGGCATGGGTGTTTACCGGGATACAAGTGATTCTGAAGAAAGCACAGATAGTGATGTATGTGACAAAGTTGAATATGACTTACTTGGCAGAAAAATTGATGCTACCAAGAAACCTGTTCATTAAGAAAATAGAATCTTGTTAACAAATGAGTGATAGATGACATCGAAATGAAATATGCACAATACTATATAAATAGGTTTTGAAAATGATTTATTATATTACAATTGTTTTTATTGAACAATAATAGCGAAAATGCAGAGAATGCTAAGATTCTATAATTTAGTGTGAGTGGTATATAAGTATGTTTAGACAAGTGATTTTACATGCAAAGCTATTAAAAGTAAACAAATATACTTTTTTTAATATAAAAATTAATTGCATGTATATATAATAATTTAATACATAATTTCTCACCAGCCTATTACATTTAATTATTGATGTATGTGAAATATATATATGTAATTAAATTTTTACAACCCTCACAAATTGCAATATGTGAATAGATATAAACACTTACATAACTGAATCTACATACATCTATAGATACTTTATCTATTTCAACATGAGGCATTCACTCAATGAAGGGTAAAACATGCAGTGCATAAACATTTATGAAATCAAATATTATCTTATGAAAATGCCTCATGGTGAATTAGACAATCTCTGAGAAATGTATGCAAAAATCAAATAATAAAACAAAAATCACCAATCCATAAATAAACTTTAAAATTAAAAAACATTATCCTTTTCAAGTAGCTACGGGAAGTATATCATTACTTTCACAAGTCTCTACACTATTAGTTTGTGCATTTTCATTTGAAGTATTCTCAATTTCATTTGTTGAGTTTTGGATGTGAGTTTCATCATTTGATGTTTCTGTTATTGACATTTCTTGCACCTTTTCATTTATGTTGCATAAATTATTGCTAGTTGATGGATCATATGGATGCCTTTGAACAAACATGTTATCCAATATGTGGTCTATATTGTGAACACCATCATTGTCTGATGTTTGATCTGGCGTAGGTGAAGAGTTTTCTTGTGTAACTTGAGGTGGTGGTACAATAGGTATCGCAGAACTTCGAGGTCTACGTGGTGCTAACCTTGGTGGCAAAGGTTGCCCTTGAGGAGAATAATATGTTATTCCTCCTTGTGGTTGGAACATAGGGCCTGCAGGAGGCGGATTTGGCTGAAAGTATGAAGAGTATTTTCAATAAAATAGAACATGTTGCTTTGATATTTATTGGGCAATCAGCTAAAAGAACTGATAAAGTCTTAGCTTATTTTATATGTAGAGCAGAAAATAATTATAGACTTCAATGAAACTTCACCTGTCTTAACATGTATTGTTTATTATATGTAAATAAATAAAACCTTTAAACCATTTTCTATATCATAAATAAATTTATGAAAAAATAATATAAGTGTAAAATAAAAATAAATATTCTGAATGAACCAAATATTTGATAACACACATCAATACAAATTAAACACAAATATGAAGAAAAAATCATGATCAAGAAACCAAACTAAACTCTGAAAAATTAAACTTGTTCAATAAAAAAAAAATTGCAAATTACTTTCATTGCTCTTCAACAAAATGTGAAAGGAAAAAAGATACTTACCACTGCATTAAAAGCTGTAGGAGCCGGGTATTGAGGGTATTGGGGAGGATATTGTGTTGGGGGTGCATGTTGAGGAGGAGGAACAGGATAACCTAAAGATTGTGGTATAAAAGTATTATTTGGAGCCATGTAGGGTCCCCCCGAATTAAACTGCATAGAACTTGGAGGATATTGAGGGGCAAGAACTTGTTGCGGCATCACTTGATTACTAGTGGTTATGACCTATAAAACACAAATATTTTTCAAATTTATTTTTATTTAACCCTTTTAATAAAATAATAAAATGCTCTAATTAAAAAGGTTCAAATTAATATTCTCATTATTATGTTGTTCAAATGTTGAAGATGTATGTAAATACCTGTGTAGGAACTGGTTCTGGTACATAAGGCATTGTTTGTGGGGGTGGCACAGAAATATTAGGAGGTACTACCTGACCCCCTGCTTGGGGCATCCCATTTAGTGCTTGTGGTATATGTTGTCCTTGATGTGAATTATTTTGTTCATTTGCTACAGGCGGAGTATATTCTGTGATAGTTCAAGAGGAAATATACAATTATTAAATTTTTTTATCAAATTGTAGGTGATTAACAATTTAATTAATTTGTGGAAATATTGAAAAATGACTTAAGTATTGATTAATTTAAAATTTTGATGTGTTTAAAAACTGTTTTTGATTGCATGTAATAAGTAGGGTCATGATCAATATTATGATTAAGATATAAGACACATTCACTAACCAGTTGCATAGTAGTTCTGTTGATATACAGGTTGTTGTTGCTGCGGTTGGCCTTGCATGTTTGTTTCTGGTACAATACCACCAGGTCTTTGACAAGAATATCTTAAATAGATCATACATTTTAATATTTATACCCTTGGTGATAATTTACGAAATTCACATATAAAAACATCTTAAAAAATAATTTTTAAACCTTTTCGGACGGACAACATCTTGCATTCTAGGTGGAGCAACATTACCCCCTCGAATATGATCATTACCACTAGGCTGTGCAATGCTTTTATTATGGGATGTTGTTTTAATGTTATCCATGTATTTTATGCTATTTACACTATCCTCACATTTTAATTTTGTGTTATTAAAACTTTGAGTGATAATATTATCTGTATTGTCTTCCTTATCTTGAATATCATACAGATTTTTCTGTGCCTCAATAGTAGATGCCAATTCATAATGATTATTTATTGGCCCATCTGAACTATTGTGAGAATTACTATGCTGTGTGTTAGAAATTTTATTCCTATTATGGCTCTTAAACTCTAATGTATTCCGATTTTTAAAAGGTCTATTTGGGCCACGTTTGTCTCCACTATTATGTTGATGCCTTTCATTATCATATTTCTTATGTTTAGGATCATTTTCATTTATATTGTTAGTATTTTCTTTAATTTCATTGTATCCTTTTTGTGAATTTTCATTATATTCATTAGTTTGTTTATCTCTGCGATCAAATTTATTGAATCTATTATTTCTATTACGGACATTATTCTGCTTATTGCGTTTGATTCTAGAAGATCCTCTTTCCTCAACTTTCTTTTTATCTGAATGCTCTGAAACATCATTATTATAAGATGAACCCTTTTCATATTGAAGAGCTGGAAAATCTTCTGCTTTTGGTTTTCTTTGTGTTGGCTTTTGTTTGCCATATGCTTCCAAATCTTCCCAGTTTCTTGTATATTTATTAGGACCATGCCTGTAATTAATGAGTACTTATAGCAAACCATTTTCAAAGAAATGATATATGTTTTAGAATTACCCATATCTATGACCCCTTCTGGCTTTCGGCGGGCCTTCCTCATTTCTTATATCATATCCATATGCAGCAATCAATTCAGATCTTGATTTAGGAGCCTGCTCACCTTCATCATACCTTCAAAATCAAATACTGATATATATATATATACATATATATATATATATATATATATATATATATATATATATATATATATAGTGTGTGTGTGTTTTGTATGTATAAATATAAACATATTTATAGAACTAGTCATTAATTGATGCTTAATCAATTGGAAACTAAATTAATCAAAAAAAAAATCAAATTATTGCAAACATACCTATCATGTGACCATCTATCCTGACTTTGTTGCCATACTTTTTTAGGTTTTCCTGTAGCTTTCTCATTAATGGGAATTTCTTCTTGTTCAGTATCAACAGTTTTTGCTTCTGCTCCATCCGGAATACTACAGCAAATAAATTATGTCAAACTCATTAAAAATAAAAATAAATAATTCACTCTTACCCATCTTCCGCAGTTCTATCATCATGTTCATAAAAAGTTCCTCGTTTTGGTATATACTGGGGGTTACTTTTGTCTTCATCATCGTCCACTTTCTTTTTTTCGCTATCTTCCTATTTTTAGATTTAAAATAAGTGAATACATTATCAGAAGTTTATTTAATAAAATATCATTAAAGATCAAAATTTGTATTCTAGCACATTGACCTAGTTGATTAAACAAAATAACATACCTCACCATCGCCACTCTGTCGTTCCAAGTCCAAAATAACACTTTCATCATTAGCATCTTCTTTATCACTTAGATCTAATGAACTATTCCGATTTGATGGAACATGATCTGTATCATCAGACTCAGATCCAGATTCCTCTACAGTTTCATATTCAGAGTCAGGACAGTCAAGAGTTGACAATTCATTATTATCTGTCTCCTATATGGAAAGTGTGTGTGTTTAATAGAACAGAACAAATTTCATTACTAACAAGCACGTTGGTAACTATTATTTCATTTATGCATTTGATCAATAATCAATTTCAATACTGTTCATTGCTTTTATATTTCTGAGAATATGATCAACAGTATTGTTAAAATTATTTAACATATTTAACACTCGAGCACTAAAACTCAATCAACCAGGTATAGTTATATATATATATATATATATATATATATATATATATATAAAACAATTTACGGTTATATTTATTCTATTTCAAATTCGCGCACTTACCGAATCTGATACTTTTTTAATTTCTTCAAACGAAGTCTCTGATAACCCCTCAGAGTCATTTGTATTTTTGCGACGACGGACTTCAGACATATTTTTCGTTTTTGTTGATGATTTAAAAGTAGTTTACATATGACTGTCAATGTATTAGAAGTATTTATCAGTATAGCAAGCGAAATCAATAATTATTTTTAAAGTACTTTCTTTGTACCAGATAAAATGAAATAGGACAAACACATCACTAATTATTTTTTACAATTCACTTGAAGAGTTAAGATGTTCGTTTTTAAAAATATAATCACTATAATAATTGTTTTGTGTTTTAAGTCAGGAGTTATATAAAATTAAGCAAAACATTGAAGTTTGCTTACGAGTTGTTTGTTGATGTGCACTATTTAGAACCGAAAGTAGAACAACCGATTAAATTCTATAGGTCACAAGTTCACAACATCCAATGTCTGTATCAGCATTTAAATTTTATTTAAGATTAGCCCAATCACATTATTTGGTTTTATGATATTTTTATAAATCTATTTCTATCTTTTCACATTTTCTTGCAGAAAATGAAATTAATCACATATTCTGTATGATCAGGGGTGCCCAATCGTTCTCTAAACTGGATATATAATCTTAAGCTTCACACGGTACCATTTGTCACTGAAGTACATGGTATGAAATTAGAAGCATTGCAACTCGCATTTTGTGTGATACTAAGAGATTCTTGACAATAAGATATTATATATTATTAATAAAAACGATGGACATCACTATTAGCCATATGTTATTTCTGCTTAATTTCTTATAATGCTTATTAATATTAATTCGAAATAACTTATTTTTGCTAATAAATTTAAATTTTATGGATGGCAGTAACTAAATAAGATCATACTACATGAGGTTGTTTTACATTTTACAAGACGGATTTTATTTTAAATACTAAAAAAAAATAAATAGAAATTTATCTGGTTTATAAAATACGTCTGCGTCTGCTGGCCTTAATTTGTACATCTCTGATAAAAATGTTGGCAGGAAAAGCCGTCAATAATGGCAATACTATAAATGAGAAATAACCTCAATCATAAAAATGTCATATTGTTTTCACTGAATGCTTCTTCAAATAGATTGTTTGATTAAATAGATACGAGGTTTAATATGAGTATAAATCATGGCTGCTAGAGATAAACAAGGAATGGATGACTTCAAATGGACCGTTGATAATGAAATTAGTTTATTTGAGGCGATGACCAATTATAAAATTGCCGGTAATTTACAAACGAAAGCCGTTTGGTTGCCCTTATTATTATTTCAGAGTACTTATTTTTATAAAAATCGAAGAACTAATTTTGAAATTGTATTAATGTATTGTGACTTATCTTAAACACGAATTAATATGTGATAATTTTGTAGGAACTAACCGATTTTTCAATATGGCATTAGTTCTTGAAAAATTATCAGACATGAATCGAACAATTCCTGTAAACAGCATATGGAATCATTTGGAAAGTATGTATGATGTTGATATTTTAAATGAAACGGAAATGTTACATGCAACAGTTGAAGATTTTAATTTGCCTTCTGCTGATTTTTCTGAGCTTATGAAAACTAGAAGCACTAATGAAGACAATAAAACTATGTTAAACAAACAAATTAATAAAATCAAATTAGAAGTTAAAGATTCACCAAAAACAGGAATAAAGCGTGAAGAAAAGGTTGCAAAGTCAACTCCTAGGCGTGATAGTACATACAAAGAAAGCGTACTAAAAGTTAATATTACTCCAAAGACAGTTGTAAAACCAGAAGTTGAAAAAAAAAGTGCTAGTAAAAGCAGAACTAGAAAAAATTCTGATAAAAGTATATCACCTGTTCCTAGCAATGCTAATAGAATCGGAAGAAATACAAGAGGTTCTTTAAAGCCAGAAGAAAATACATCAACTAGAAGTCGTAGCCCAATATCTAATGCAAAACGCAGAACTAGAACTGATTTGAAGTAATTTTACACATTAGTAATATAAAATTAATTTTAACAAAATGATAATTTAATTCTTGATTTTTTTAATAATTTAAAAAACCTGCATTAATTATATTATTTGAATTATTGAAGAAGTTCAATAATTAATATATCCAAAAAATACTTATATATTGAAAATATAGGATTAATTTGTTGATTTTTAACCTGAATTTTTTTCTTAACATATCACAAAAATTAATCGATAATGAATAATGAAAATAATTTTTTGATATCCAACATGCATTGAAATTAATGAGATATTGCAATTACCATTGATATAAAGCTATATCACTGCTATATTAAAATAAATAATCTCTTAATTTTTCTTACACCAATATATTTTATTTTGTATAAAAAATTATGAAAATAAAAAAAATTTAATCCATATTTCTTTTTAAAAAGTTCAATAAGCCCAATGTAGATGAATCATGTGCTCCAGGTATTCCTTGCTTCTCCAATTCTGGTTCAATAATTTTGGCCAACTGTTTTCCTAATTCTACACCCCATTGATCAAAGGAATTAATATTCCAAATTATTCCTTGAACAAATATCTTGTGTTCGTAAAGTGCTGCAACATTAATAAATTTATCATTGTGTAATATTTGTTTCCTAAATATATGTAAAAAGTCATACCTATTAAAGCACCTAAAATGAAAGGTGTTACTTTGGTCACAACTATTGAGTTAGACGGTCTATTACCTTCAAATATTTTATGTGGTAATAAAGCTTTAATTTCTATTTCATTCAAGCCACTGCCTTGTAATTCATTTCTGGCCTGTTCAATCAAGATATATTATTAATGGCTAAAATCAAGTATATTTATAGTTGATCTTAAAATACCTGTTGTTCAGTCTTTCCATTCATTAAAGCTTCTGTTTGTGCTAGAAAATTTGCTAATAAAATTTTGTGATGTTTGCCATTGCCAATGGGATTGTGTGATTTAGCAGGGACGATAAAGTCACAAGGAATCAGTCTTGTTCCCTGTTACATAAATCAAAATTATTTCATTTATGAATATATATCCACATACATATAATCTTCCTTTATCCTTTGATATAACAAAAATACAATCACTCTTTCTAATTGTAATACTTTAATAATGTTTTTGTCTTGCTTATGGAAAGATTGCCTGCATATTTACCTGATGAATTAATTGATAGAATGCATGTTGACCATTGGTACCTGGTTCACCCCATACAATTGGACCAGTTTTATAATTCACACGGTTACCCCTGCGTGTAGTACTTTTACCATTGCTTTCCATATCGCCCTGTTGGAAATAAGCAGCAAATCTAAAAAAATGTAAAGTATAAAACATTTTAAATAACATTTAATAGAATATATAATATTAACTTTTACCTATGCAAGTATTGATCATATGGCAACAAACTGTATGTTTCTGCACCATAAAAATTGTTATACAAAACACCTAGCAGAGCCAAAATATTTGGAGCCTAAGAGCAGAAATATAAGTAATGATATGAAATATCTTTAATAAAATATTTTATTTTCCTTTTTATTTAATTATATTTCTTTTAATTTTTTACTTACATTTTGATGCAAAGGTGCATTTTTAAAATGTTCATCCATGAAATAAGCACCTTCTAATAATTTCTCAAAATTTTCAAAACCTATTGATAAGCAAATGGATAAACCAATTGCAGACCATAAAGAATATCTAAAAAATCAAGTTTTGTACAATCTTGAAATAAGTCTCAATAAACCATTTCATGTACCTTCCTCCAACCCAATCCCAGAATTCAAACATATTCTGCGTATCTATTCCAAATTCTTGCACTTTACTAGAATTAGTAGACAGAGCTACGAAATGCTTAGCAACAGCAGATGGCTAAATATAATTATTACAAATTGTTTTATCAATAAACAAAATTTGATTAACATTCATAAACGCTTCAATACCTCATTGGAGTATTTCAATAGCCATTCCTTTGCAGATAATGCATTGGTCATAGTTTCTTGAGTAGTAAATGTTTTTGAAGCTATTATAAATAAAGTTGTTTCTGGATTAATCTTCTTCAATGTCTCGACTAGATGTGTTCCATCAATATTTGACACAAAATGTACGTTTGGACCTATTGAGTATGGTTTTAAGGCTTCACAAACCATCAGTGGTCCTAAGTCTGATCCACCAATTCCAATATTAACAACATCTGTAATGCTTTTGCCAGTATACCTAATGATATTGACAATTAAAATACTTGCAAAAAATACTCGTTGCTTACATGAGTACATTAATACCCTTTCCAAACACCGGAAATAACTTGATAACTAAATTCCTGCATGTGTTTTAAAACTGCATTTACCTTGGGAGTAACATCTTGACCATCAACATAATACGGGTTTTTGCTTCTAAAAATATAAAAAACATCAGCTTATTTAATTTCATCCATTGCTTTATTTTTAATCAAATTAAAACTTTTTTTATTTGCCATGATTATGATGAGCGTAATTATCAGTCGTAAAAGCATTGCATATTATATACTCACCTATTTCTCAAAGCTACATGAAGCACTGCTCTATTTTCTGTGCTGTTTATTCGATCTCCATTAAACATAGCATCTCGTGAGCTTGTCACACCACGCGAGATAGATAATTCTAACAATAAACTCCATAATTCATCAGTAACTCGATTTTTTGAAAAATCTATTAAAATGTCACCATCATGAGGTGTATTTAATTTAAGACTGTAAAATAAAAATATTTTCGTATTCATAATGAATATATATACACATATTTTTCATTTTGTGTTTTCAGTAATATTATAAAATGCATTATTAAATATTTTCTAAAAAGCTTATATCAAATTTAAATAAAATAATAATTGATCAAAAATTTAATGAAGCTATTAATTGATATCACAATCGACTATATATATATATATATTAGGTAAAAGTAGGCATTAGCAAAATCATATGCTTAAGTTTGATTGCTAAATTCTTACCTAAACTTTGTGAAGCGTTGGGAGTCGTTTTGAAATAAATCTTTGATATTAATTTTGTCTCCATTTTTAGCCATATAATTTTCCAATTTTTGCCAAATTGGCTCAGAAGTTAAATCAATTTTTGCTTCCATCATTACGTTTATGATCGAATAATCTACACGTACTAAATACAAGAGAAAGTTTGCGTATTTGACAGGCTATCATACTCTTATCTCATATAACGAAAATTATTTGAACATAAATTGCATAATAGAAATCATTTTTCAAAATTTTGTCTTGACACACATGACCTTTTCACCTTGAATTATCTTGTTAGATATTGTTTGAAGTTTCTGTAGGAAATTCGCCGGTGGAATTGATTATCAGTTGGTTTAATTAATTATCTGTTAATATGGAATTGAATATAATTTTTAAAAAAGCCTATGAGACTACGACTAAAGAGATGTCATTTAAAAAAAAATAGCATTTATTTAGCCATTACTATTCCGAACGTTTAAAAAATCATGCCACCTCAGCATATTTAACACTCAGTGTCTAACTTTGTATTATACTCTTATATCAAAGGTGGATAATGCATTAAATATCAAGGCTTAAAAGTAATAGACACTGAATATTGCAAGGGTTACAACAATTCAAATTAAATCATGCATAGATTTTTGTCTCGAATTTGAATATGCATGCAAGTCATATTAATTAAACATGTATTTGACAATAATGCAAAAAAGCAATCCGTAATATTATATTTATTTTTTATCAGTCTTTATTATCATTATTGATTTTTACATTTAACTTCGCTATTTGTATTGTATACAATCCAAAACAAAATCCAATTTGGTACTAGGAAAGCTGTCGTCATATTGAAGGCCCAATTGCCATAAATCTGCAATAAAAAAAATACAATATTTCTTAACTACAATTTATAAAACTGTAAAAAAAATTACTATTGAATCAACCACTCCATAAGTTATCGATGCTTTTATAGCCGTATAACTTCTTATTAACACACTCATATATTCTTCTTCTGGAAAATAAATAAAACTAGAAACCATGATAAATAGAGAAAATAACACCAATGGCTGTAACAACAGCCAAAAATTTTTTGAGCCTCTTGTAAACCTGTAAAAAATATTCACTTAGTTACATATATTATTTATTAATTTATTGTAACAGTGTTTCGAAATAATCTTACCTATTTTTTGGTGTTAAAAATGTAGCTAATGGTACAAAGATGCTGCCAATAAGCATTGCCATTGAAAAATTATTCATCCCAACAGCTAATAACAATGTAGCTAATTCTAACATTGCTAAGATATTTAACACAATGCAATCATAAGCTGAATACTTTGCAAATTTTTTGATAACATAAGGAACCAGTATAGTAATTATACTTAATAGTGAATATCCATAAAATAAAGATACATCAGTGTTAAAACTGAAATATCTAGTTCCCAATTTAGTTAAAATTTCTGGTATTGTCATTAAGAAAATACCAATGGCATGAGAAAATAATACTGTTCCACCAATTGACAGCAAATCAAATTCAATATTCTTTGATAATATTTGAATGTCAGACTCACCTATAAATTATAATAATATAAAAGACAAATATTATCAGCATGAAAAAAACTTTTATGTGTTGCTATTTTAATTTACCAGGTTCTTCAAAAATATTAAGCCATAACGCAAATGCCATTATAAATAAAGCACCAACAATAAGACAGAGAGCAGGCATATATTGTCCTAAAAAATAAAATATTATTATTTACTGTACTTCAAATTCAATATTTCATATTTATTACCTATTGATATATATCTATCAGTAGAGGGCAGAATGTAGAAAAAAAAACTCTGATGAAATCTTTCTAGTAAATTATTTAAACTTCTTGATAAGTCTTCTAGAAGTCGTATAGTTTTTATGGGTTGAGACGGATTAAGGCTTACAAATTGTGCAGCAGGTTCATCTCGCGATATTCCTTCTAATGTAACCGCCTCAATTCCAAATCGATGAAAAAGACCATGATTACCATTTGGCATCTGTTTATGAAATTTTAATTAACAAATATTCATTAATAAAATTTTATAAAATATAAAACTATTCTAAGTTATTGCTTCTTTTATACTATCTAATATTAATTTTCAATAGCAAAATTTTTTATAAGTTTTCAAAAAGATTTTTCTGAAAAACGTTATTATTTATTATGTATATATTATTATTTTTATATGTTATATATTTATATATAAGTATATGTTCTACATGATGTAATATATAATTCCAAGGTAAGAATCTTGAGAATCTTAAGAATATGTTTATAATTTTTTCATCTAACAATAAGTTCAATTTTCAAATAAAAGTTGATATTTTTTTTAGCAAAACTTACCCCTGTTGCTTGTGTAAGTACCATATTCATCATAGTATGAAAATTATCCAACCACTGATTCATTGAGAAAGAGACATGCTTTCGTTTTCCACTTCCTGTTGCTAATTTATGTTTGAATGTGTTCCTTATATCTTCTTTAATGCACATTCTATGGCACAAATTAATTAAGTCCAAGTTTGGCAATTGTCCATTTAAACCTTCAACTTTAATATCTATATGATCTGTTCAGATGATAGACAAAAGCTATTAAATTGGATTTTATTTAAGTTACTTCAGAATAAATTTAGTTTTATGATAAAAATAATATTATTATATATACCTAATTTCAAATCATGTAATTCTAAATTGATTGCAGCTTGTATTGCACCTGCTCGACTTTTGAGCTTTCCTGATCTCAGAGCTTTGCCATGTCCTAATTAAGAAAAAAAAAAACAAATTCTAAAACTAAATACAGCTTGAAGTATATACAATTCTTTTTCAAATAATTTATGTATTATATTTCTATAAAGTGAAATTTAGCAATACCAGTCGGTGCATCAATATCTTCACTCACGCCATGATATGCTTCTAGCCAAGCTTGCATGCCCAACATTTCATGTTCAGTTATGAGAAATATTATATCCTTTGCCCAATACTTTTGCTCTGAATTATAATTCATGCAGTTAAAAAAAACAATATTCTACTCATTATTATTAAAACTACATACTTCTTGCAAAATGAGCAAACGATAACATTGCAGCAATTCCTGGTAATGTGTTGTCATTGTATGATTTAGAACTTCTAAATGGGCTACTGAATACAAGGCTTTCTGTGCTTGCAGCTCTTGGTGCTCGTAGTATTCCATACACATTTCTACCCACGTAAATCTAGGAAATAAATATCAGTATAACAAATTCAATCCCATTAAGCAAATAAAACTCACCTGTTCCTGACTTAACGGGTATTTTAATGTAAAATTATGTTCATATGCTTCTAATCCAATAGCTTGCATCTTAGCCAAAAGAAATGAATATGGCATGCTTTCGTGAAAACGCTGTGATTCCATAATCAATTCATTTAAAATTGTACGTGACATTGATGCAACTTCTTCTGTAGTTTCAGATTGTACTAATCCTAAAATTTCTCATTTTATAATTAAATATTTATGTAATATCATCATTCATGAATAATGAGAAGAATTTACCAGGGAGTAATGCGTTTTCAGAAAAATATCTTTCATTATTAAATTGTATGTGAGCCAATGCACAGAACCAAACCACACCTGCTGTCCACATTACAAAAGTAATCGGAGTATACCATTTCGCTAAAAATTTTCCAATAGACCCTCTTTCAGAGTTCGGATCGGTTAATAAACCCATCACAGAAACTAGATATATATCTAGAATAAACTATATATTTTTTTAAAAACTTATAATCATACTAATATTAATTCTACATTGAATATAGACGGCACATAATCCAAGTCGGCATCAAAATCAATAAAGTATTTTAAATGGGTTTAAATAAATTAAATGTTATTGACATATTTGAATATTATCTAAAATCAGCTAATCTGACGTTTCGTTACAAGTCGCGCGGCTTGGGGGTGTCATAGATAAAAGAAGAGTAGTGATATAGATCGCTCACTCGAACCATATTTCGAGTGTTAATTCCAGTGTTGAAGCTCCTCTCTAGAGATGGCACTAGTCGCCTGAAATGTACATAAATGTACATGCTATTCACACACACACATATATATATATATATATATATATATATATATATATATATATATGTAATATCATTTTAGCATATCAGCCTTTTAAGCTGAGCACAAAAAGAATAGAAATGTACATGAAAGTATATATTATTGAAGTAAAACTTCTTTAGGCGCGATATGGGTGTAAAAATTTCTTTAGGCTACACGGGTGTAAATCCGTACAAATGCAACGAAAACGCCAACGTGAAGTTGAGCACTACGACGCAGGTAGGCGCTGATGTCGCGAGTCGCGATCCACTCTCGTCATGTCATGCGTAAGTCGAACGCTAAACCCTATATGAACTTGCATTAATTGAATCACGTTTTTTTACAAAAGAAGAGGTTGCTGTATTATGTCCTCATGGAATAAGACTTTTCTTAGAGAATAAATGTGTCATGGAATATAATAAATTTATACTGAATCTCGTTGAAGACAAAATAATATCTACTGCCACGGATATTTATGTAGGTTGCCATGCGACAGATCAACAATCATACATTCGTCAGCAGTTTCACAAAAATCGGTTATTGATACCGGGGGTTTGCCGTATGAAATAATTTCAGTTCTGAATAAATTTTACATAATAACAACTAATATTGATGTAAGTGATGGCTTAGCTAATGGTTGTGTAGGAAAATTAGTGTACATAGAACGTGGCGATAATGATGAACTTCTACGTTTATGGTTTGAATTTTCTGGTAAGATAGGTAACAAAATTAGGAAGAAAGCTGCACATCATATTCAAACTCTTAATATCAGTAGGACAGCTGTGCCGATTCTCAGGAGATCTTATTATTATTGATGTTATGTGATTATTAATAGATGATTTTTAAAATTCAAATATGATATTTTTGAAGTAAAACTTCTTTAGGCGCGATATGGGTGTAAAAATTTTTAGGCGCGACACGGGTGTAAATCCGTACAAATGCAACGAAAATGCCAACGTGTAGTTGAACACTACGACGCCGTAAGCGCTGATGTCGCGAGTATCCACTCCCGTCATGTCATGCGTAAGTCGAGCGCTAAACCCTATATGAACTTGCATTAATTGAATCACGTTTTTTTTTTACAAAAGAAGAGGTTGCTGTATTATGTCCTCATGGAATAAGACTTTTCTTAGAGAATAAATGTGTCATGGAAAACAAAATAATATCTACTGCCACGGATATTTATGTAGGTTGCCATGCGACAGATCAACAATCATACATTCGTCAGCAGTTTCAAAAAAATCGGTTATTGATACCGGGGCTTTGCCGTATGAAATAATTTTAGTTCTGAATAAATTTTACATAATAACAACTAATATTGATGTAAGTGATGGCTTAGCTAATGGTTGTGTGGGAAAATTAGTGTACATAGAACGTGGCGATAATGATGAACTTCTACGTTTATGGTTTGAATTTCCCGGTAAGATAGGTAACAAAATTAGGAAGAAAGCTTCACATCATATTCAAAGTCTTAATATCAGTAGGACAGCTGTGCCGATGCTCAGGAGATCTTATTCAGATTATTAAAAGATGATTTTTAAAATTCAAATATGATGTTTTTTTTAATTTTATCTTAATTGCCTACTCATACAATATTAAAAGTTTTACTTCAATCGCGTGTGATCCTTACGCGCACTCTTTTTTTTATTTTTATCTTAATTGCCTACTCATACAATATTAAAAGTTTTACTTCAATCGCGTGTGATCCTTACGCGCCCTCTTTTTTTTATACATATATATATAACCACAATTCATACCTGTATGTGTATATATATATATATATATATATATATATATATATATTTACATATATATATTTATTTTGATTAACATTAACTTACATAATATCTATGATGTACAGTCTCTATTCGGGAATCTTTTCTGCGCTATTGTTAATGTGCATTCAAATGTTGTTTCAAAATGTCATTATTATCATTGTCTTAAAGAAAAAGAAATCATTGATATTATTATAACAGTACTTAATAGTTTTCTTATGGCATCTACAATAAGACATTTTAGAGTAAAGCTATTGACACATCTCAATAAGCCAAAAAAAGCCAAAAAGTCAAATGCAATAAGCTGTGCACATTAACTGTGTTTTATCCCTTTGCACTAGCTAGAATTTTACCATTAATCATGATTATACTTTGCCTGTCATAGTTCCTGAAAATCTATACAATGTGATTCCCTTTATCATCATTAAACAACGCAAATAATAATATTTCTTGTAATATCAAAATGCAATTATCAATACTCATAAACTTTTCCTATGACATAGCCAAACCTAAATTAACCTTTGCACTAGAATTTCACCATTAATTGAGAATTTCCTTCCACTTACGATTATATCATTAGTGTTTTTAGTATGTTCTCCAAACTGACTTAATGTAAGATTTCAGACTGCATTCTTATTGGTTTTTCCTGCGTATTTATTCAAATCATATCAATACTTGTATACTATTGATAAAGTTGAATGTCTCAATTATTTCTGAATTATTAAACTGTAATGAAAAATTATATCAGAATAGTACAATCAAATGAAAGTAATTTGAAATATGCATATTAATAAAAGTACTCACTTAGATTGAAAGCCGGCAAATATTATTAACCATTTTACTTTTACTTCGTCGTTTCTCGCTGGAAATACATAATACATGCATTTTTCTTGGTATTTCTTCATCGTTAAACAATGCACTTCTACAGCTTATTTGTTTTTTACTTTAATAAACGCTTATTATGTTGTATAGGTTATCACTTCATAAAAAATTTATTGCAATGGACGCCATGAAAATAAGCGCGACCGGCGGCAGGGGCCCTAACTAAACTCGGGTTACAGACATTTGTTTGGAGATTACCGGCCATTTATACTTGTTTATCTATGTTACCGGCCATGGTTTGTGTTTACTCTAAAGGAAACATTGTTACAAAAAATGACATTTCACAATAATGTTATGAGGTTACAGTGAATTTTAAATTGCTGTACTGTAAATGTTATATGAGATGTTCTAAATTTATTTTCTAACAAGTTTTCTATTTATTTCTATCAAGTTTTTTATTATGGCATTTGGAATAAAACTATTTAATGTTGTTCAATTCGATCATTAATCATGCCCCGAAAGAAAAGCGTACAAGGCGGCATTTTTGATATAAAAATAAAGGAGGAACCTTTAGACTTACCAATTATTAAGATAAGCAGGAACCAGGTCAATCAAAAAATGTTAAATCTTCAACAGAAATTCTTTCAGAATTATTCAGCGCTTTTAATGCTAAGCCCCTGACATAACTTCGGTTTTACCCAAAAGTAGTAAATCAGGAAAACGCTCCAAACATAAAAAAAAGCATAAGCATAAGAGCAAGAAAAAGAAGAAAAAAAATTCGAAGCATTCAAGAAGTAGTACATCAAATGATGAAAGCAGCGAAGAAGATGAACCTAAAAAATTGAAAATTATGTCATATGCAATGTAAATGAATCATTAAATTCAAGATTAGATGATGATTTTAATGGTAGATTTGATGACAATATGAAAAATATTGATAATCCTGTCATTAATATACCAAAAAGGGCAGTTATTACTATGCACACAGTTCCTATAAAATGCAAAGAAAAACATATTGAGGATAAAAACGTTAAATCAAAAGTAACAAACAAAATCACAATTAAAAATTGAAATTTAGTTCTGTCTGCGAACAAAATGTGCAAAGAATTGATAAGGAATCCCATAATAAAAATGTTAGTGATGATTATGAGAGATTGAAGGAACTCAAAATGAAATCCACTCAAAAGTATCTAGATAAAATCAATCAATTAAAAGCTATGTATCAAATAAAGCTAAGATTGGTGAAGAACAAGAACGAATTTGTACAAAACATTCAATGAAAATAGATCACGTTCAAGTTCAAGTTCTGGATCTAGATCGGAATCAAGTTCTGATTCTAGTAGTGAATCTTCTTCATCTCGATCTAGATCTAAATCTCAACTGATCAAGTTGAAAAGCCCCATCAAGTCTAACCTCGTTCTAAATCTAAATCTCGTTCTAAATCTAAAACAGTTTCAAAATCAAGAAGCAAATCTATAACAAAGTCTCGATCTAGATCTCCATCAAAAAGTATGCCTAAAACAAGACTAAAATCAACTCCAACTATGTCAAAACAAAGATCTCGTTCAAAAACAAAGTCTAGATCAAGGTCTAGATCAAGATCTAGATCAAGGTCTAGATCAAGGTCTAGATCAAGGTCTAGATATAATTCAAGATCAAGGACGAGGGGTACAAAATATTCAAAAGATAATAGGTACAAGGATAAGTGGAATATCAGGGATAGTAAAAATCGGACATATCGCCAAGAATACAGAACTTTAAATAGAAGATTTAGTAGGGACTTTCGCAACAGTCACAACAATTATTATATGAATAAAGGATATAATTATAGTAGAACTAATTATATTAGTCGCTCCATGAATTATAATAATAGGACAAATAAATATAGCAATAGGCAAAGTTATAATACAAAACGTCATCGATCTCGAACTCGTTCCAGATCAAGGTCTCGAAAGATATCTAGAACAAGATCTAAAACTAGATCCAAATCTAGAAGTAGATCTGTGTCAGAAACTAAGTCTAAAACGCGGTCTAGGTCCAGATCTAAATCAATAGACAAATCCAAGGCTCCCACTGAATCTAAAACCAAATCTAGATCCAGGTCTAAGTCAAGAACTAAATCCAGATCTAATTCAAGAGATAAATCTAGATCCAGGTGCAGATCCAATTCAAAAGATAAATCTAGATCTAATTCAAAAGATAAAATTAGTTCTGAACCTACTGCTAAAACCCGATCAAAATCTAGATCTAAATCTAGATCTAAATCAAGAGAGAGAACCAAGTCTAGATCCAAGTCAAGGGCTACATCTGTAAGTAGGATCTCTGCTAAGTCTACAAGTAAATCTAGAGCTAAATCTAGATCTAGATCAAGAGCTAGAACCAGATCTAGATCCAAGTCAAGAGCTACCTCTGTAAGTAGGGTCTCTTCTAAGTCTAGAGCTAAATCTAGATCTAAATCAAGAGATAGAACCAAGTCTAGATCCAAGTCAAGAGCAACATCTGTAAGTAGGATCTCTTCTAAGTCTACAAGTAAATCGAGAGCTAAATCTAGATCTAGATCAAGAGCTAGGACCAGGTCTAGATCCAGGTCAAGGGCTACCTCTGTAAGTAGGGTCTCTTCTAAGTTTAGAGACAAATCTAGGTCTAGATCTAGGTCACGTGTGTTTAAAATTGGAGGTTCTTCTCATTTAGATATTGATAAGAAGCGCTTATTAGCGATAGCTCGAAAAAATGCAATACACATGTTGAAAAATGGCACATTGCCAGGTTCAGCCGGTTTAGATAGAAAAGCACAAGAGAAAGTTGTGGCAGCAATAAAATCTGGAGGTAAATCAGTAGAGGAGCTTACTGATTTTTGCAAAAACCTTTCTCAAAATGAAGATCTTGGTGATTTATCTAGTGTATCATCTGGAGAAAGTGAAGCAGAAGAGGAAAAAGTTGAAAAACCATTCCATCATCCATTTATGATAAGAAATAATAATAAAGGAATTGTGATGAATATTAAAAATGCAGTTCAATTACCAATCAAAACACCACAAGAAAAAACAGCAGAACAAGTAAAAAATTTACGAATGTTGTTTCCTGTGTCCAGTGGAGCTCACCATAGAAAAACTGAAAATGAATGGAAACCAGTTTCACCTTCGTCCACTCAATCAAATGCAGTCCATTCAGGTGTAGAAAATAAAAAGTTAGCCAGCTCTAATTCAAATAAATATATACAGGCTAAGCCTAAAGATATTTCCAATGAAGAGGTAAAATCTGTTAGTAAAGCAGCATCTGTTGAGCAATCTGTAAAAGTATCCTCTGATGAATTATCTACAAATGTATTAAGTACTACTAGTGAAGTAACATCCTCAGCCACTCCTGCTTTACCACCACCTCCTGAATTTCCGGCTTCATTATTTGCAGTTATGGAAAATGAAAATGATATGTTAGGTTCTAGAAACACTTCATTTGGCCAAACACAAGCTGACATTAGCACATACTCATATCCGACGAATTATCCTCAGATAGTTCCGCCACCAGAAATGCCAAGTAATTTATGTGGTGTTTTCAATACAGAGCCTACAAATTTAGATATATCAACAATTATATCACAAAGATTAGTAGCTATGCGCAAGTTACAAGAAGATCCTTCGGATATAAATGCTATGAATGACTTATATAATGCACAAAAAGATATGTCTTTATGGACTTCTTCCAAATATCAACCTGGACAATTTACAGGTAGCACTGATGCTAATATTCTGAGTGCAAAGGAATTGCAATCAGGCACTCAAGCATGGGCGAAAAGGGACCAGCTACAAAGAGCTGCACCAGTCACAGGAGGCATGGGAATGCATCTCTTACAGAAAATGGGCTGGAGACCAGGAGAGGGTTTAGGTAAAGATAAATCTGGGTCTTTGCAGCCTTTAATGCTTGAGGTAAAACTTGATAAGAAAGGTTTAGTTTCAAATGAAGATGTTTCTAGAAGAATTCCTCCTCCTGTAAGACCTGCCCGAAAAGCGCCCGTCCTTTCATTATCAGGAAAGCATCCTGTATCACTTCTAGGAGAATATGCTTCTAAACATAAGCTTGGTGCTCCATGTTATGAATTATGCTTAGAGTCTGGTCCTGATCATAGGAAGAATTTCTTATTTAAGGTTAAATTAAATGGAGTTATATATCAGCCCAGTATAGGAAATATGAACAAAAAGCAAGCTAAAGCCGATGCTGCAATAGTTTGCTTGCAACAATTGGGAGTCTTACCCACCACATCTTAGAATTATTTTTTTTTTAAAGCAATATGAAGAATATAATTATATTAAATTTAATTATAAGTATGTATTGCTTATGTGTGAAGTGGCATTGCTACATGTATGTGTTACATTAATGTTTTAATGGTTTGTAATTTTATTCTTTGATTGTATTAAAAATGTTATTGTACATATTAAATAAAACTTTATTTGAATAATTATTTCATTTATTTTGATTGAATAATTGTATTTTTGATGATGAATAAATGCATTAATTCAGCAGTAAATGAACTACTCATTCCGTAAGTTATTATTCGACAAAGCTTTATTTTAAAAAAATTGTAATTTGTAGTACTTGAAAACATTTTTATGGAAATTTAAAGATGGATTTCTGTTTGTGTTTCTATTCATCTTTTCTAAATTTTTGCAAATTTGCCATTTTTAACTAAGTTATATATAACTAACACGTATATTAGTAATCGGAAAAAATCGAACATGAAATTGTTTGAATATCTTTAAAATTTAAAAAGACAATTGGTCAATCTATTTCTTTACTATTGGCAGAAAAGTGCAAAAATTATCGTCCATGTTTTTGTCAAAAATTCTTAACCGTTGTTGCTTAAACTATTCGATTGATATCATTTGGAAATAAATGGTTTCTGTCGAAGATCAGTCAAGTCGTTTCTTTTTCATAATAGATTGTCATTTTTTGGCGATTTAAATGAAACTTTGCATGGCGATAGAGTTCTGTTCTAAATGAACGTACTAAACTATATTAAGGCCTGTGACAAGTGGTTTACTTATAATAATTAAAGTTTGGATTATTTGGCCGCGCTTTTAAAAAATTCACGTGTGTATGTATTCGGCTACGTATTTCGTATGTGTTCGTTTTCCATCAATGTTTAATACTCAAACCATTTTTCAAAAATAACTACTATATTTGAAAAAAAAAATGCAATAGTTTCTCACTTTAAAATGGTTTACAGCGATTATGTATACTTCTCTAAATCAGTCATTATTAACTTCCCGAAGGGTAGTTATAGTAATGGGTTGAAAATCCAAAATGATTTTTTTTCGCATTTCTCGACATTTTGAAGGTTTCTGAACACTTTGGCATACCTCAGAAAAAATGGATGTGTGTTTGTGTGTTCTGTATGTTCGCATTTTTTTGTTCACATTTTCGGGCGCACGGATCAACCGATTTGAATGGTTTCAAAAACATTCGATTCTTATTCATAGGGAGATGTGCTGATTAATTATACGGAGTGAGGAGTGCAGAAAACACAAATCGAGTTTTTGATTTAGTATCCGATTTGAATGATCTAAAAAACATTGAGTTTGTAATGATTGTGAGATGAGGTGATTAGTTTTTCGCAAAGGCAGGTCCAGCAATTTCGAAGATACTGAGCTAAATATGCAAAAAATGGCAGTTTTTGAGAGAACTGAGTTACCGATTTGAATGATTCAAAAAACTTTCTGCTTGACAGAATAATTGCTTTTGAAAAAAAAATTGTTTCAATTTTTTTTTCATTTTTTTTTATATTGAAAATAATTCAGATTTTAATTTTAATTCTGACGAAAGTTTAAAACTTATACACTTTAAATAAATAGTTTTAACTTTGCAATTCAGTTTATATAATTCTTATAAATATTAGACATTGTTACAATATTTATAATAATCTATTTGAAAAAATATTCCTCGAACATTTCGTTATGGTACGGGAAGTTCCAGCAATTTGCCTTCAGACACGATGCCATACACCACTAGTTTATATATTGATTAAGTCGACTATTTACAGATGTTAGAATTACTGAGAGTTCATGCATAAGGGCCACTCTCAATCGGTTTAATTTTTAGATTTTTGAATGAAATTTTTTTCCTAAACTGTAATAAAACATATATTCGCAATACGATTAAAAAATCCTTAAATTTTAGGATTTTTGACTCCGCCATTCGTCTACAATCAGTTAAATATTCAAGTTATAAAATATGTTTGGTAACAAAATACATAAACTAGTGGGGTGGGTAGCATCGTGCCTTAAGGCAAATTGCTGGAACTTCCCGTGCCGTAACGAAATGTTCGAGGAATACTCAATGTTTTCAAATAGATTATTATAAATATTATAACATTGTCTAATATTTATAAGAATTGTATAAACTGAATTGCAATGTTGAAATTATTTCTTTAAAGTATATTAGAACTATAGTCAGAAGTACAATTAAAATCTGAATTATTTTCGATATACAAAAAATAAAAAAAAAAATAAAAAATTGAAACAAAAAATTTTTTTTCCCAAACTCAATTATTTTGTTAAGATAAGCAGAAAGTTCTTTGAATCATTCAAATCGGACGCTTAGTTCTCTCAAAAACTGCCATTTTTTACATATTTAGCTCCGTATCTTCGAAATGGCTGGGCCTGCCTTTGCCAAAAACTAATAAACACTTCTCCCAATTATTACTAATTGAATCTTTTTTAGATCACTCAAATCGGATACTCCGTTCTCTCAAAAAGTCGATTTCTATTTTCTGCACTTGTTGCTCCGTATCTCCGAAACGGCTGGACCTGCCTTCGCCAAAAACTAATCAGCTCTTTTCCCTATCAATAGGAATCGAATGTTTTTTGAACCATTCAAATCGGTTGATCCGTGCGCCCTAAAACGTGACTGGAAATTTGTATCCATACATACCTACACACACACACACACATCCATTTTTTCTGAGGTATGCCAAAACGTTCAGAAACCTTCAAAACGTCGAGAAATGTAAAAATTTTCAATTCCGATTTTCGGCCCATTACAATAACTTACCCTACGGGAAGTTAATTAAATCATTATCTAAGTCCTAAAGCAGGCTCAGGGGGGTTATGACCCCCGTGACCCCCCCCCCTGGATCCGCCACTGTACACAATACATATACACTACGCAATGGTTTAAAGTTGCGTTTATATCTATACCGTACCTAGATTTAAATATCGAGATAACGACTGAACCCTTGTGGAGTGGGAACGCTTAGCTAATCGCTTACCGACGCGTCTCACCGGCTCGCACAGTGTTAGAAGCTTCGGAAGCGTACGCACGTCGAGTGCTTCTTCCTCCGCTCTTCAAACAATGTTTGTTTATTGCATTCTTTATTATATTGGCAATGTCATGTTTCAAATTTTAATCGAACAAGTATAGTTTTCAGTCCGTGAAAAGTATTTACACATGTCAACCGAAATATTAAATTTTAAAAAGGAAGTAGCATATCCGCTTCTTATAAAACATAAAAATATAAATGCAAAGTGTCTACTGCACGTGTTAGAATTAAGAATTGCAAACAGTGATGATTGAAAGGTTTTGTTCACCAGAATTGACTTGTGACTTGTGATAATTTATATATTTGTGTAATAATTATATTAAAAATAATGTTAAACAATGTTAACGAAAACAATTTTTGATCAAAACTGGAATCTATTATGGTATAATAAAGGCTTTCACACTAATCAAAATTCAAGCTGGATATATTTAGTTGACAATATTTGCATGGGTGTAAATGTTTTATTAAAGGTATGTTTTATATTACAATTATGTATTTATAATGCTTATAAAAATTATAATGTAAACTATGTATGTTTCAACTTAAGTAAAACATAAGGGCAATAAATTACCCTAGCTTACATATAAAGAAATAAACAACTGCGTAAATTGTATACATTTTAAAGTTTAATTGTACACTAAAATTTAATGGTTTTAAATAAGCTTATAGTGCAATGATTAACTTCCCGAAGGAGAAGTTTATGTTTT